TACCTCTCTCTGGCTACCACTCCTCTGTTAAGTCTCTCTCTCTATTAGAAAACAAGCTCCTAGAGGGCAGGGACTTCCTTGCTTTTCTTTTTTTTTTTTTTTGTTACATCTCCAAATACACACAGTTGGCACATAGTAGGCACTAGATACTTGTAAAAATGTCAGGGAAAAGAATGAAAAATGGAAACTAAACCCTCATTATAATGACTAAGGTCAGGCAAAGAGACAGGAGAATGCCACTCTCTTTTTCTTTTCAGGGGTAAGGGACTCCAGGTGAAGACACTGACCAAGACCTGGGAGAAGGGGAGGAGGTTGGTTCATTTCACTTGAAAGTTTATATTATTTGTGACAGAGCCAGGCTTAAGGAGCAGAGGCGAGAGGAGGACTGTTTATAAATGACGATGATATAAAAACCAAAGTTACAACTAAATATACAATTCTGGAAACCCTTGTTTACCGACATAATCAGATATTTTGGTTGGAAAGGACAGGCTTGAAATAAGTAAAAGAAAATAGTGAACACTAGCAAATAGGACTTGATCACCTAATCTGCTTAATTATAGTTTTTTAAAAAGAAAGATTTAATGAGAATAAATGATAGGCCCCTTAACCCCACAGCTAATCATGAGCTACCTAAAAATAGTAATACCACAATCCATTATTGCCAGTTACTACTTAGGTATCAGATCAGTGAACAGCGTAAAAGGGCCAAAGAAAACAGAATTCACACAATTGTAAATAGGATTCCAAAATGTGCTGCTATAAAATGCCTATTTTTGTCAATAATGATATTGTGACATCATAAAAACCACTTCTTAATAGTTAGATGGAAGAAACCACTAGAGACGACATGTTTATGAGTATGTGAAATGCTGATATTAACATCTAAACCTAGGCTGGATTCCCTTGGCCTCCCAGCAGGCAACATCATTTTATTACACAACAGAAAACACAATTAGAAAGGCAAGAGTTTGGTTATTTTACATACTCTGGTTTCCACTGGTAAATATAACGAACATTTTAGTTCTCTGCTCTTCCCTACATACATCCAGCCCTTCTCCCTTCTGTTCATTAGTGCAGCTAACTGAGCATTTGCTGCAAAGGGAATGATTCCGAAAGAGGGATCTGTTGTCCCTACTGTGAGAGTAAATCTGAGGGGGACCTAACACACCAGAGAAGCGTTCAAGCTGCCCAAACCAGACACCATGTGTATGAAAGGGAGAAAACTTACTCCAAGCTGTGTTGGGCCAAGTGGTTCAAACTGGTCCAACCGTCTCGCTTGGCCTAATTTGAATCCTCTGACCAACTTCCCTTGAGCTGTTCATTCTAAATGCAAAGCCTACTCTCCATTTTCTCTGCTTTGTTTACCAGATTCCTAAGCTGGTTTTCCCCACCTGGGGAGGAAGGTGCCCTCTGCCAGCTGTTCTCCCAACACTTAGCAACAGCAGCCACTGGGCATTTGCCAAACATCCTGTGTTTTCTACAACTTCTGACACTCTTCAAAGTCAGTTTAAACCATTCTTTCAAAAGGAAATTTCAGTGGACTGTGAGTATTTAGAGTGGACTATTTTTTATAAAATTTTACTTGCAAGATTGCAAGAAATAGACTTATTAAAGAGCTATATTCACTCAGAGGCATATTACACTGATAAAGATGATAAATATAAAATATTAAACACAGACACTGGGGTCGGCCATTGGGCGTAAAAGCATTTGGAGGGTGGGTGTGGGCGAGGGAATGGTTCAAACTGAATGGAGAAGGGAAAAGATAAGGAGGCCAAGAGATTCTCCCCATCCCTGCTCACTTATAAAGTGATGCTACCCGAGTTGTGCTCAGGGTACAACAGACCACAGATGCCATGGGCATTCCATTAACAAAACCAAATGGCTAGAGAAACCCTCTCATTCCCAGAAAATATGGGGCCCCTGGGTAAGTCCCTTAACCTCTCTTAGCCTCAATTTTCTCATCTCTAAAATGGGTATAATTATAGCATCTTCCTCCCAGGATCATATGAGGTAATACATGTAAAGCGGTTTGCAAATTTGAAAGTGCTCTGTTAAGTATCCAAATTTACTTTCTGGTAAGGACATTCCAGAAAGGCCAAAAAGGGAGCTGCGTGTGTATGTGGATACATACACATGCATGCATGTTCGAATACCTCTAATTATAGAAGGAAGTGTAGAGAATCAGCCTGCAGAGGCTGTTTGTATGTGGTGCTGGAGGCCTGAGAAGGACATAGCTGCAGCTTACTGGGAGCACACTGACCTGGTCAAACTAGCGCTTTAGGAAAATCCCTTGCAGCTGCACAAAGGCTGGATTAGGAAGGAGGGAGGCCACGAGAAAGCTAGCTCGACTGGAGGTGACCCCGTGAACACAGAGAAGGGCACTGACGTGGAGCCAGACAGGGTGAGGCTTGGCAGCTGGCTGCACGGGAAGCGGAAACATGGTGCCTGGAAGCATGAGGTTTGGAAACAGAGGAAAGGGTCAAGAAAAAACTACATGGCAGTGAGGATGAGGACTCAGGCATGTGTGAGCAAGCCTGAGAAGGCCCCGCTTGGGGCTGTGACAGTAATTGGCAGGCCAGGTCACCTATTAGCTCCTGGCAGCCCAGCCAAGGAAAAAAAACAGGTGTGCTCTCTTCTGGCCCCTATCTGGCTCGGGAGACAGACATTTAGTAATTTTTACTGGCACAATGATAACACTGTGTACAATCAAGTCTCCATAATCTCGCATTGCCAGAGAATGAGCTGTTTGAGGTAAGCAATGACTGAGGGTGTTCGCACCAGAACTCGTCTCCGGCCTGCTTCAACTGCATACCTTCCTTGACTCTCCCTTCAATGCCATACTGGACAGGGACAGTCTGGGCCTGTGTCTGCCCCACCTGGCTGCCATCGGAGACAGTCATACTGACTCTGTCAGCGAAGTCTGAAGAGTGACCAGAAAGTGATACGTCTGGGGTCCCCTCAAGGACTTTCTGCTGACTCGCAAAGTGGCTGCAATCTTCATCAGGGAAGGAGAATCCACACCTACAAAATCACCCCGTAGAAAAGTCTTGCTGATTCAGGGCTCTTGCTAAGGACCCAGTTATCAATCATAGGGGGCTGTGCACAGACACTTATAAGTGGGCTTCTTGACTATTTTCGTGGCAATAATCCCTTGGGCAATCAGTCCAGTAAAGTCCGTGAAGCCCTTCTCAGAATTGGTTTTTTAAGTGCACAATACGCCGAGGATTGCAAAGGAAACCAATTAGACTGAAAAATAGTATACTAAATATCAGCATGCTTCATATCAAAATATTTTTAAAATACGTTCACAAACCCCTGCTCTTTTGAAAAAGACTCTGATCTCAGGCTTGAAAGCATCAAGGTGAAATTTGGTAACAATAAAAGACATTGCTTCATCACTTTCAAACAACTGACTTTTTGGAGCTGAGTATCTTACTAGCCCACGTAAGCTATTCCAAGCGTTATCTTCTCTCCTTAGCCTCCCACACCAATTCCCTTGTCCCTCTGTCTCAGCTGAGGACCTTGCCTCTGGTAAGATTGAGTCCTTTCAGAAAGGAGCTCCCACTTATCCATTCTTTTCATCTCGAAGCCCCTTAACATCATCCCCCACTTTCCCCCTCCCGTCCCCTAGTCTGACGAGGTGGCTCTTTTGCCAAAGCCAAAGCCTGTCCGTGTGCACTTGACCCCATGCCCTACCATCTTTTTCAGCAGACTGCAACCTCAATCACCGACACCCCCCCCCAACTTCAATCTCTCCCTATCCATTGTTTCTTTCCCTACTGCCTTCAAATGTGCCCAAGTCTCCCTCATCCCTCAAAATCCTTCAGTAGGCCTCCTGGGCCAGTCAGCATATTATCTCTCCTCTCTTTCTCAGCCATCCTTCTCAAACTACATTGTATTTATTCACTTTGTGTTTGTGGCGTCCTCTGTAATACTTGTGGTAAGCTACTTAAAAGAAGAGATTGTGTCACTCTTTGTCTCTGGATCCCAGGGCCTGGCATGGTACCTATCATACAGAAGGCCTTAGGAAATTCTTGCCCATGGATTAGTAAGTACAGGAACATAGCAAAACTTTGTGAGTAGATCCTCCCATGGGGTCAATCCTCGGTTCCCAGTTGAACAGAATTAGGGTTAAATAAAGGAGGAAGAGATTAGGAAATCTTTACTTAGTCAAAGTAAATCTAATTTACTTCTAAATTCAGCAGGCAGTTAGTTTAAGCCAAGCCAGAAGTCTACTTGGGAGGTGTTTTCATTTAAATGCCTAGAGAAATTGAGCTTCTGGTGGTGAAATTCAAGACTTCACTAGTTGAAACAAAGTTGTGAAATAGTCCCCATTTCACTGACTAATTGTCACTAAAGTTTTATGCAGAAGCTTTAAACTGAAGGTAAACTAGTTCTTTGAGGGCTAAGAGAATTCATACGTTTTCCTTGCCATTTCTTCCTCCTGTCCCGGTTTTCTCTACTTTGCTTTGCTTGTGTTTTTTGTTTTTTGGTTTTTTCTAACCAGTAAGCTAAAGAAGATGGCATTCATCACTTCAGAAAGGGCAAAGATGGTGGGAAGAACAAGAGGATGAGGGGGTGGGCAGTCGTTTGGGCTTAATCAATCAATCAATCAGGAAGTATTTATGAAGAACATACTAGGTGCCAGGCCTAGGCTCTGGGGACACAAGTCCAAAGAACAAACAATACCTCCTGGTGAAGAGCTTACATGTTAATGGATCTCCAAGGTATATATGTACCACCCTCAGACTGTTCATACACACAGCCAGACCAGGGAAGTGTGTAGACCAGGAAAGAGGGAACATCCCTCCTGGAGTTTCCCAACAAGTGTGCAAATGTGTCACCAACTCAAAAAGCTGACCGCCACCTGCGCCACCATGGCCTGAAAAGACTGAGGCTGCAGGAGGCATGTAGGTCATCGAGTGAGAGCACAGCCCGACTTCCATCATGATTTAAGGGGAAGAAAAAGATGAAAATTCCAGCCGCCATCTTACCATATCCCGCCAGAGATGCCCCGTTCTCGCCGCTCACGAGGCTCTTATTCTCCTCGGCCAGAGCTTTCACGTATCTTTTGCTTAAGTCCAGGATCTGCTCCCGCAGCTCCACACTGCTGGCGTGTCTCGGATGCTGGAACGTGTAGTGAAGCAACATCAGACCCCAGATGAAGCCAAACACCAGCAACAACAAACTCAGCTTCTGAGACATGTTTTTTCTGGAGAGTGTCAGGAACATTCCGGATGCAGGGAGCAGATGGAGCCAGATTCGAACGTCGGGAACCAAAGCCACCAAGTAACCAGAAGAAGGACTCGGGGAGGAGGAACCCCTTTAACCGCCTGGATGGCTCATCTTGGACACGATTCTTTCCAACTCGGAGTCAATGCACCGTCCCTAGGTGAGGTTCAGGGAAAAAAGAGTAGTTACAGAGCAGCCGAAGAATGAGAGCCGTGGAAGAGCTCACTGGAAGCACCTGTGTAATGTCTAGACCTGCCTGGCTCCAGGAAGATGGAGGCAGCTTCTTCACCTGATCCCCTCTAACAAGTATCTCCCTGTTCCACTAAGAAACAGTTTCAGCGCAGTGCCCCCAACAAACCTCTTTGAGCTGCTTAAACCAAGCCCATTGTAAGCACTATCACCAACAATATAATGGTAGCAAAGCTTACACCTTCTCTTTTGTAACTGAGAGCTCACCATGGGTAGCTCTGGGTAGCTCTGCCCATTCCACGCCACAAATTTGGGTACAGTCTTAAGCTACCTCTGCTACAAGATGTGAGAAAGATTAAAGTGGGCAGAGAAACAGGAAAGTAGGGAGTTGGCACACCAAGGCCTATAGACGTTGGAATAAGACGGACCCAAATGAAAACCAGAATTTAGGGCAAGGTAAAACTGACAAAGATCAGCCTGGATGACGAGGATGGAGCCTGGATGGAAACGAACTGGAACCCATCAAGAGATGAGGAGGTTTAGCGGTCTGTAGGAAATTTTTATAAGAAATAAGCTATTTCAAAATGACATTGGGAAACACGTTATTAATGAGAGTAACTCCCTAGAGGTCATCCAAACAAATGTTGCTTAAACGCCTCCTAGTTACAAGCAACTAGGAGTACAAAGGCCAAGAGTGATACAATCCTGGCCTGAGTGGAAGGGGTGGTTGTTTGTCCTTGGTTCTCCAAGAAGACCACAGGGCATCAGGAAGGCGATGCAATGACTGGCATGTGAACTGCATTACAGTGGGGGAGGGCTGTGCAAGGTCACCAGCCTCACTTTCTCCTCTGGAGCCAAGTAGGTCCCGTGGCCAGATATAGATCAGGATGACTGGAAATGGCCCAGGATGCAGTGAGAAACCTTGGCCCTTTTAAGCTAAGATCTTTCCTACCTTATGGATACCACTGGGTGAGCTGGAACTCACTATCCTACTTTCTCCTCCCACCTGTTACCCCAATGCTACACCTATTCCCTTTCTTTTATCCCACCACAGGGCTGCCTGAGGGCAAATCTCCTGGTGAATTCCCAATTTCCACACATAAATACAGGCTAAATGAAAAGGGCCCAGAGAAGTCACAGAGAGGGTGTTGGTTATAAACCAGTATTTATTTAATCGCTTCAGGTCTTTTAGTTTTTAACAGCTAACTAATGCCACTCTTCTCCACCCTGACTTTTTTTATCCAGGGCCAATGGGAGGGAAGAGAGAGAAAGAAAGCAGATCAAATTAAACACTGTTTACATCTGCAGTGCTTTTATTTTCACTTTAAACCACAGGGCTGATACATAATTAAAATCCACCCCCAATCCCAACAAAATGAGCCTTGGTAAGCATTCCTAAACCTTTGGCTTACTCCTTAGCTTCTGCTGGACTTCAGGCCTTTCCCCTGCAGAGGATGAGGTTGAGGGCTCCCGGCTTCCATCCCTCCCAGGCTATCAAACCTTTGGTCTCCTTGGACTTGTTTGAACAGTTTCATCTTACTTAAAGCTTCTCCTCATTAGACTAGTTCTTCCACCCAAGAAAGTAGCTTCCCCAACACCCAACGGGTCTCTGGCCTCTCACTATGGGCAGCAAGGTTATGCCATGGCTGCCTTGGCACAAACTTCTCCCTGTGGCCTCCGGGAGAAAACAGAAAATCCTCAACCTGCTTTTGAAAGCCTTCCACAGTTTAATTCTCACCTTCCTTCTCAGTCTTATTTTATTTTTTAAACTTTCCTTCCAACTCTCTCCATTTGGAGCAAACCTGCTAGTGAGGGGTTCTTGTAAACAATGTCCCGTCTCTGGCCTCTCTGCCTTTGCCCTCATGGTCCCCCATGCCTGGGATGCATTCCCGTTTCACTTCTACTTCTTACATCCACCCATTCCTCCAAGATTAAGCTCCAGCACCCCTCCTCCATGGAGTCGTTCCCAACGTGCCCAGGAGCCCGGATCCTCCCCCCACAAATGATCTTACATCTAGTTTGTCCATACCTGTGGATGGACGTATCTTCCTTAACTAAGTGTGAAGGAGGAATCCTTGAAGGCAGAGACTGTCTGCCTGTCTGCCCACAGTACCTGGCACATAGTGGGTGGTTAAGAAATGATTTTACAATACCAAAGGTCAGCCCTAGTTTCTCGACCCACATTCCCACTGACATCTTGAACAATCAATCCATCCTCACTACTTAAGTGACTCTTCCACTGTCCACCGAACTTTCCCACCTAAGCATTAACAATCTGCCTTGACCTCTACATTATTCCACCCTCCTCCTCCCTCGACTTCCCAAACCCGCCTGTAACAAACACGCTGTTACAATCATTTTAAACCTGTGCACACACAATGGCCGCCAAGGTCCACCAGGTTTTCTTCTGTTTCATCATCATAGGCAGTTTATTTTTGACGAAAGTCCTGTATTAAGTGACAATCACCGTGGGCCCCTCCAAGTTAGGGAATTTTGCTACCACTCAGCCAGTTTGGGCTCTCCACCTAACCCCACACTTCCATCTGCCTCTAGCTGACCCCGGACTTCTTTGTGTGGAGGCATGATTCAGTTTGCTGGTATCATCTGGGCAACAAAGCAGCAGATTATGGTAAAGTGTCTTCGGCTAGGAAGCTGGGGGAGAGGCCAACGTCCCTTTGGACCTCCCTGACGCTGGACCCTCCTCTCCTCAGTGAAGCCCATCTCACTATCTCCCTGTCTGGCACAGCTCAGGCCTCCCTTGGCTCCATGCTGGTGCCAACCTCTCACACCCAGATTCTCAAAATCTCTTCTTTTTGACTGCTGAATGTCTATGAAACTTAGTTTCCCTACCTGTAAAGAAGGCCAAATAAAACTCACACTGCCGACCTCCAAAGGCAGAATTCTGGGATTAGGAGACTGTCTGACGATCACATGTTTGGAGCTCGAAGGGATCCCAGACATCACTTAGTCTAACCCTCTCATTTTATGGATGAGGAAATGGTAGCCCAAGAAAGGCAGTCGACTTACTCAAGTTCTCCAAGAAAAGGATGGAAGGGGCAGAGGCCTCAAGCCCAGGCCCTCAGCCTCTCTTCATGGCACCGCATGGCGCCATGCCCACTGTCAACCGCCATTGTCCAGAAGGTCATCTCCTCAGCTCTCATTCTTCAGGATCCATTCAAAGCTCACCTGCTAAACGGAATGAGCCCTGACTACTCCATTCCTCCAGGATCTGATCTCTTCTGCCTCCTGTGGCCCTCGGTCCACACCACATAATTGAACATGGAATTACTCTCCTCCCATTTATTGTTCACTATTTTTCCTGCGATGGTCCCCCTTCCCCCCACCCCCATCTAGACTCTAAGTTCCTTGAAGATAAAATCATTTCCTCTTATTTCTATGTCCCAGAAGGGTCTGCAGAAAGGAGAGCAGTGGCCAGTAGCAGTTTATTTTTGAACACTCAAAATCTCTCTGTGCCTTATCAAGAGACGCAAAGCTGTCAGAACATCTAAAGTTTAAAAACAAAAACAAAAACAAAAAAATGAGGACTTGGTGAGAACCAGCCGACTGTCTGGACCCTGAAGAGAGCACAGACACAGATGCTGTCCGTCTGTCTGGGATTAGACTTGTTCTCCTGAACCCTATAAGGCAAAACGAGACCTGATGGAGGAGCTTTTCAAAGAAATGAATTGAGGGTCTGGCTGAGGAAAAACTTCCCCAAATCCAAGCAGTCCAAAGTAAAATGAGCTGCCTGTGGATGGGGGGATGGGAGATGGGGGCAGGGAAGGAGGAATGGGTTTCCCCAGAGGACTTCAGAGAGGCTTGCTAAGCACCTGGAGGGAGATTCTGGCTCAGATACAAGCCAGGCTTCAGAACTCCCTCCACTCAGAGATTCTCCAGTTCCCTGACAGGAAAATGACCCAACCCAGAGCAATCATCAGAAATCTCAAAACTGACAGCTTGGGCTATTTCCTTTAATGCAGCAATATAGGGGGCAGCACGGAGCTAAGCCATGTCCACAGGTGCCACCAGCTGGCCATCTAGTAGCAGAAGTAGCCCCTACTGCCCACCTGTGGCTCAGAAGAGGGCAGACTATCAGGCTATTATGACAGGATGCATCTTTTCTGCAGGACCTAAGACAACCATCAGCTGGAGATGACGGAAGGATGAGCCAGACCACTGCACTGGGCAGCCTGAGGGCCAGCCAGGGCAGTCACAACCCATTCTCACTCAGAAGAACACAGTCCATCTCCCAACTGATCCTGAAAACAACTCAAAGGTCAGACCTTGCTAGGGTTCTCTTTGTATAACAGAGGGTCTGTGGTTACCAAATGAAGTGTCTGAACCCAAGAATATGGGGGGGGGGGGTGAATGAAGAGATTCAGCTCTTATCTAAAGCTCCCCTTAAAAAGGCCTGGAACTAATCAAACCTGGGGGAAAGAATGTAGTCACGTTTGTCCATCTACTCAAATTATGGATGTGTAACTGCCAAGCTAGTTACACAGGGCACTGACAGAACAACGTTAAATCAAACAATCAACTCTTATCTTGCTTTGGTAGAATTTTATATATTATAATACGGGCACAGATCCAATGTTCTTTGGATTGCGCTGTGTTGTCAAAAACTTTGTTAACACAATTTACCACCACCTCTACATTTAAAAAAAAAAGCTGCATGAAATGTATCATTTATGTAGATATCATGCCAATCTAAAAAGTTCCTGTAACAGGAGCTACTAAACTGAGACCAAATCTACAGATTGTGACCAGTCCCAAGAAAAACCTCCAAGTCAAATTTCAGGTTTCCTTCTGTGCATTCTTCTGACTCCTGTCATTACCCAGACCCTAATTCCCACTCTAACCCTAATCCCTGGAGCCAGAGCCCTCTCACCTCCTTCAGCAAAATATCTCAAGAAAACACCAGGGCGCCTTATCTATAACTTAAAATGCATATAAGTCCTGCTATTATCCTTCCTGGGGCCATTTGTATATTAAGCCTTATCTCTAATGGGAGAATGAATGGGCTTGCTCTCCACCACCAAAACACAGGTGACAAACCTATTCTACCTAGAGATAGGGCCACCAGTCCTGCTATTGATAATTTCATTGGACCCATATGGACCCCAGTGACACCAAAGCCCCAGATTTCCCACTTCAGAATGGGACGGTGAGAATCAAGTTGTGAGAAGATACTGACTGTCCAGAATGACAAAAAGGGAAGAGTTTCGAAAATATACATCAGTTAAACAGAAATGCAAGTGTTAGGGAGTGAAACTCGTGAAAATCTCCACCCTCAAGATGGGGATGAACCATTAGGTTCTTCCAAGAGCGATTTCAGGAAGAGCTCTAACTGAAGGCTGGACATAAACACTAATTATCACACTGTCAAAAGAACCTACAAATTAAGTCCTCGATATCCATTGTTAACAATCTGATTAAACAATACTTCTAGAGTAAATACTGAAAGTTTAAAATTGTGGTGGAATCTGTTTGCCAATTGTTAAGTTTAATCTAAAATATATAATGAGTCAAAATACTTCACCTGAAATTATTCTAATTTTTTAAAGAACCTACTTCTAACTACATACTGTACCTGACAAATATTACCACAGACAGATACTGTAGAGAAGGGGTTTTGCCACACACTTTAAAGTGATGTAAAGTACACAGTGTGTATATGCACCCAATGTGTGTGGATCCAATCAAACATTTTTCCATCCTCAGAAAAGATTCTCTTAAAAACGTTCCCTTTGGTAGTTTCAGAAAAACCTGAAAAGACTTTTATGAACTGATGCAAAATGAAGTGAGCAGCACCAGGAGAACATTGCACATTGTAACAATGATCAACTGTGAAAGACTTGGCTACTCTGTTTAAGACAATAGTCCAAAACAATTCCAAAAAATGCTCTCCACCTCCCAAGAGAACTGATGAGCCTTCAGAGTGCCGACTGAAGCAGATTTTCTTTCACTTTATTTTTCTTGGGTTTTTTTGTTTGTTTTTTGTAACATGGTTAATATGGCAATGTTTTGCATGACCTTACATGTATAATGTAATAATACTTCTTGCCTTCTCAATGGATGGGAGAAGAGCTGGGGGGGCAGAGAGAATTTGGAACTCAAAATTTTTAAAAATGAACGTTAAAAATAACTAATTAAAAAAAAGGAAAGAAAACCTACTCATTGCCACCAGCATATCACCTCCAAGTTCTTGTGTGCCATGTGCTGTTTTCTTTTTGATCTGAACATTCAGAAAATAACATCCTCAGGGCTCAGATGGCCTCAATACTACATGCCCATAAAATACAACAGAATGGCCATTTTTTTTTTTTGCTTAGGCAATTGGGGTTAAGTGACTTGCCCAGGGTCACACAGCTAGTAAATGTCAAGTGTTTGGTCTGAGGTCGGATTTGAACTCAGGTCCTCCTGACTTCAGGGCCGTTGCTCTATCCACTGAGCTACCTAGCTGCCCCCAGATGGCCATTTTAATTAAAATTCAATTAAATTAAGGTCCAAAGACATTTCCTTTTCAGAAAAATAAGAGGAAGTGCAGGGGGAGAATTCCCTACCAAGCTCAATAATACATAACAGGAAAAAAAAAAAGAAAGCCCATCATCACCAAATGCAAATGAAACAGTGGAGAAACTATGGGCTTTTTAACACTTCTGTTGATGCAGAGAGGGTTACACATTTGTTTAGCTGTTCCTCAGCACCAAAAAACTACTCTTGAAAACACAAAATCTAAGAGATGAGAGAGAACACCACCCAGTGAGAAGATGCAGGGAGTTTTGAGAACGGAGTCCACGAAAGTAAACTGGGCTGGAACCGCAGAAGCCCTCCATGTACTGTACTTCAGATACAGCAGAAAACGCCTGGAAGCCAACCTGGAATCCCCTGAAGGATGGCTAAAAAAAGAAAGCTGATCCCTAAAGAAGCAAGATCATCGGTTTCTCCTAAGTGTGCTCTCTTCATGTGACTACCTCAAGAAGGCAGAAAAAGCATCTTCCTTTAGGAGAGGTAGAAAGGGAGTGGGTGGAATGGGTCCAGGATTTGGGGTGGAGGCCATGACCAGAGAAGCAAAGCATCTGGGGAATCCTGGAACAATTCAACCCCAGAAATCCAGAGACTTGATTCTTGTCTTGGGTTGAATGACACAAAAATTCAACAAAAAGATGTCTGTAAGACATTTATGGCAGCGGTGATAACCAAGTACCATCTACCACCAAAGAGGAATTTTCTGGGTTTGGGGAGAATGTGAAGGAAAGTCCATTCTGGGGCTTGGAGGCAAAAGCCCTGGGATCAAGTTCTGGCTTAACCAACTATTAGCTATGGAAGATTAGGCAAGCTACCTCATTACTGGTACCTCTCTCCACTCCTTCATCTGAAAAATGAAAAAGCTGGTCTCTGAAGCCCCCTGGCAGGTCTATGAAGCCCCCTAATGGGCCCTGAAGCCCCCTAATTGTCTCTGAAGTCCCCTCCAGGACTCGTTCTGGGACAGTTGCTAAGAGAAAAGAGAGCTTTCAAAAAGACAATCCGGCTTGTTCTTCCCAAAGTCAGACCACAAGGGACTGGACAAGAGAAGTCATTGAGAACAAGGCAAAGGGTCCTAGCTTTAGACTGGAGGGCTTGGGTTCAATCCAGTTCTGCTAATTCTTCCCTGCATGATCCTGGGTCACTTCTGGCCAGCCTCTAAAATGAAAGGGCTGGCCTGGACACCCTCTCTGGTCCTTCCCACTTTAATATTCGAACATGCTGGGCCCTCCGCCACCATGCCCCTCCCCTCCATCACTTCCAATCCTTAAAATGACATCTCCATAACAATCCCCGAGATAACACAGGTAAGTAGTATTATAATTATCATTGCCGTCGTTGTTGTTGTTATGGACAGAACACAACCTGTGGCTTATTATTCTCTATCAAGCGACAAAGGGGTTGCAGTGGATGGAGCTCTAGACCTGGAGCCTCAAAGACCTCTGCCACTCCTGAGTGGCCCGCGCAGGCGACCCTCGCTGAGACTGTTAGCTACAGACGGTCGGGGTAGGGGGCACCCCTCCTGGCACACGCCCCCTCCCTCCAGCCCCACCTGACCTGGGCGGTGGACTTGGGGACCCGATTCGGTCCTTACAGAACGGGCTTTCCCGCTCCCTGGCCCGGAATGAAGCCGCTGGGATGCCCACTGTACAGAAGGGAAGGTGGAGGTCCAGCCAGGGGCGTGCGTGAGGACGTGACCCCAGAGGCAGGGCTGGGCTCTTCGGGGGCCCCCAGGCTGCGAGGGCACGGGCGGAGGGGGGAGGTCAAGGTCAAAGCTCCGGCCCTGCCCCTCCCCCATTCGACTGCCCCGAGGGCAAGTGAGGGCTCCGATCTGCCCTGCTGGAGGGACTAGCCCAGGGAGGAGCGCCTGCCCCGAGGACGGGGATGGGGGCGGGGCTGGCCCCGGGTCCGAGACGGGCTCCCGCCTGCGCCTCGCGCTCCGGGGTCCGAGCGCCGGGTGCCGCGTCCCGGGGGGCACAGAAGGAGGCCCATCCGGACCCGGCGGGGCAGGGGGAGCACGGTGAGCGGGACCGCCGCCGGGATTACCTCGTCCGTCCGTCCGTCCAGGCCGGAGCCTCGGCGCGGGCGCCCTCGGCGGCACGAGCACGGGCACGGACACCGGCGCGGAGGCGGGAGCTTCTTCTCTGGCTCCAGGAGCTGCGCTCAGGCCGCCCCCTCGCTCGCCCGGCTTCCGCTCCGCCTCCCGCGCTGCATTGTGGGGGGTGTAGTTCGGCCAGGAGGAAGAGGCGCCTGGACGCTTGGGAGGAGTCCAGGCAATGCCCGCCCACCGACACGCCCCCTCCCCGCCTGCCTTCGGCTCCGCCCACCGACCTGACTCCTTCGCCGCCTCTTCCTCCCACCACCCCGCCCCGGAAACACCGTTGCGAAGCAACCAGGGACCTCCCCCGCCCCTTCACGGCAAGCAGTGTGCGCATGTGCGCGGGCAGACTCGCTCCCCTGGCTCCAGCGAGAGCCGGTGGGACGCGATCTGTGCGGAGACAGGCTCTCAGGCGTGTACCTCTAGGAGTGTATCCTAAGTTCAGAGCTTGGAGCCTCCCCTTAGAGGCCATGGCGTCTAGCCCCTGCATTTGACAGTCGAGGGAACTGAAGCTCAGAGAAGTCGTGAGGCAGACACGCTGAACCTGGAGTCAGGAGGAGTCCAGTCCCACTTCAGACACCCTGCTGGTTGTGAGACCATAGGCAAGTCGCTTAACCTGTCTGCCTCAGTTTCTTCCTCTGTAAAATGGGGATAATAATAAACTAGAGGTTAGCCTGTAAAAAACAGGAACCATTCAGGCCCAGGTCCACATTGATCAAACAACCTATTTTGTGTTCAATTTTCTGGGTTAGGTTCTGGGCATACAAATATAAATAGAGGAAGTCGTGGGAGGTGTGGGTTCAAATTCGAACAGTAGCTGTATGGCATAACCTCTCTGAGCCTCACTTTCCTCACCTGTAAAATGGGAGCAATCCAACAATCACAGGCTTGCCAGGAAGGGCATATAAAACAATGCATCACTAGTGTATCCTTTGTTGGTGTTGCTATAATGTTGCCAATGGCAGCCTCGTGTGTAAGGGGAGGGGGCAGGGAGGTTCCAGGGAGGGTCCCTCAGTGATAGGACCCTCCTTCATGTCCCACCATGTGGCCTGGAAGCTTAAGTAATACCTCTGACATCTACTGCCTCGGGGAGCCTGGGCAAGTGACCTAACCTCTCAGTGCTCCAGGCAAGTCTCCAAGACTTTTCTGTTTCTGTTCTTGTTTTCAGTCGTATCTGACACTTAGTGACCCCATTTGGAGTTTTCTTGGCAAAGATGTGGAGTTTCTTCAGCTCATTTTACAGAAGAGGAAACTGAGGCAAAGAGAGTGAAGCGACTTACCCAGGGTCTCACGGATTTGACCTCATGAAGATGAGTCTTTCTGATTACAAGCCCAGCACTCTGTGCCCTTCTCTCAGACTAGGACTTGCATAGAAGGTGCCAACCTGTGCTGGTGGAGGAATATTCCTTTCCTGGGAGTTCACTATGCCAACGAAATCTCAGTTCCCAGGTCTCTGCCCCTATAATTTAAATATCTCAAGGAGGTCACGTGGTGGTTCATAGTTTTTCAGTCATGTCTGACTCTTCATGACCCCATTTGGGGTTTTCTTCGCATAGATACTGGAGTGGTTTGCCATTTCATTCCCCGGCTCATTTTATAAATGAGGAAACTGAGGCATACAAGGTGAAGTGACTTGCCCAAGGTCGGACTGCTAGTAAGTGTCTGAGGCCAGATTGGAACTCGGGAAAATGAGTCTTTCTGACTCCAGACCTGACGCTCTGTGTGCACTATGGTGCCCCCTAGCTGCCTGCACATTGTGGTAAAGGGTCCAGAAATATTCTAACCAATGGAATGTGACAAATGCTTCTCTTGTGATCTCTCATTTGATTTTGCACTAGAGTCATGAAGGACAGCCCCTTGACAGACTTTGTGAGCGTCATCTGAGAACTAGCTGTGCTGAGATCAGAGAGGTCCAGTTATTCCTTCCTCCAGCAGGCATTCATTAAGTGCTTACTATAAGCCAGGCACAGAGATACAAGGAAGAAAATCCAAAACAGCTCCTGCCTTACATTCTAAAGGAGGGGAACCTGTATGTGCATAGGAAATTACATACAAGGAACAAGTCATAGAGACAATAAATAATTTTATCAAAGAGAACGGTAATAATGAAGCAATCCCCAAAACTATGGGATACAGCAAAAGCAGTAGAGGAAAATTTATATCTCTAAATGCTTACATTAATTTAAAAAAAATAGAGAAAGAGCAGACCAAGGAATTGGGTATACAATGAAAAAAAAGAAAAAGAACAAATTTTAAATCCCCAATTAGACACCAAATTGGAAATCCTAAAAATTAAAAGTGAGATTAATAAAGTTGAATGTAAAATAAAACCATTGAATTAATAAACAAAACTGAGCATTGGTTTTGTGAAAAAACAATAAAATAGATAAACCTTTAATTAATATGATTTTAAAAGGAGAGAAGAAAATCAAATCACTAGTATCAAAAATGAAAAGGGTGAATACATTACTAATGAAGCAATTATTAGGAGTTATTTTGCTTAATTACATGCCAATAAATTTAATAATTTAAGTGAAACAGAAGAATACTTACAAAAACATAAACTACCTAAATGAGCAGAAGAGGAAATAGAAGATCTAAATAAACCTGTTATAGAAAAAGAAATTTAACAGGCCATAAATGAGCTTCCTAAGAAAAAGCATCAGGACCAGGTAGATTTACAAATGAATCCTACCAAACATTTAAAGATCAACTAATTCCAATATTAAATAAATTATTTGAAATAACAGGCAAAGAAGGAGCCCCACCAAACTCTTTTTATGAAACAAATGTGGTACTGAAACTCAAACCAGGAAGAGCAAAATCAGAGAAAGAAAAATATGAACCAATTTCACTAATGAATATGGATGCAAAAACCCTAAATAAAACACTAGCTAGGAGACCACAACAATATATCACAAAAATTATATATTGTGAACAAGTGGGATTTATACCAGGAATGTGGGGGTGGTTTAACATAAGGAAAACTATTAACATACTTGATTATATCATTAACAAAATTAACAAAAATCATGATTATATCAATAGATAAAGAAAAAACTTTTGATGAAACACTACACTCATTTCTATTAAAAGCACTTGAAAGTATAGGTAGAAGTGGATTTTTCCTTAAAGTGATAAGTGGCCAAAAAAATAATAAATAATTTTTTTTAATTTAAAAAAAGGATAAGTGGCATCTCCCTAAAACCATCAGCAAGCATTATTTGTAATGGGGATAAGCTAGAAGCCTTCCCAATAAGATCAGGTATGAAACAAGGATGCCCATTATCTGCAGTATTATTCAATATGGTTTTGGTTTGGTTTTGTTGCTTGTTTTTTGGTTTGGTTTGTTTTGGGTTTGGGTCTGTTTTTTCTTTCACAACATGGCTAATATGGAAATATGTTGTGTACGACTGCACATGTATAAGCCATATCAAGAGTAGACAAGAGGTAGAGAGAGAATCTGGAACTCAAAATTAAAAACCAAAAATGCTAAAAAAAAAAATTGTTTTTACATGTACTTGAAAAAAAAATAAAATATTATTTTTAAAAAACAGTGAAAGAAGCACTGGATTTGGAGTCAAAGGATTCGAGTTTTAAATCCCAACTCTGCCACCTATTACCTGGGTAAACTTAGAAAGGTCTGGGACTCAGTTTCATCATCTGAAAAATGAGAAAGTTGAACTATATGACTTCAAAACTCACTTCCAGGACTACATCTATGGTCCTAACTTAACTAGGGAGATAACAACTCTGCACGGGAAACACTACAGCTGTGAGCTTAAACTCAGTTACAACAAAGTGGGATGGGGGAGGGACCAGTGTATATTTGTTTACAAGCACCTAATACATTTCCCTAAGGTGCTTGGAGCTCTGGACGACTGGACTGTGCCTCTTGAACTTCTTGGATTCAGGACCACAGATTGATCTCTCTCTCTCTCTCTCTCTCTCTCTCTCTCTCTCTCTCTCTCTCT